AATAAGTGCAAGATGAGGATAATGATACTGAAAATATATTACCTGACAACGATGATGATAGTGATATAGGTTATAATAAAATTCCAGAAATTAGAACAAAAAAACGATCACCTTGCGTTATTGTTGATAATACAAATGGAGGAATCGGGCGTTGCAATTCGACAATTAGTCTTATATCGTTATCTCAATTAGTTGGAACATGGGAAATTGAATTGACTTCAGATGAATCTTTAGATTTAACCGAGTTGGGAGTTTGTTCTAGCCATTTCAACTTCGACCACAAACAACTTCACTCACATAAAACTAAAGCATTAAGGCATTTTAGTAAAAGTGTGGTTCATACAAAAAAATGTTTATTACGTAACGGATATAAAAAATTCTTTAGCAGAGGTAGAGATTGTATAGAACATTGTTGGAATATATGCGGAAGAGATATTCAAGTACCGTGTCTTGGTTTAAAATCGTGCCCTGCATTTCAAAAAATTCAAAATATTAGTTCAATGTTTACTAATGATGACAGATATGTTAGATATATTTGTACAAAATATTTTGAAAATCACGGTGGGCATCTTCATATACGTTCAGGACCTGGTAGAAAACCTCAAACTTGCGTTTATGACGAATTACATATAGAAGATACTAACCTTGTTTTAAGACTTTTTTCAAATTGGTTATTAAATCTTTCATATTCTCAAAATGAGAATAAAGAAAAAATATTGCGGCATATGATGAAATTGTTGGAAACTCCAGAATCACGTTCATCGTTCTTAATAGATACAGAGTTTTATCCACCTAGTCCATTGTTTGTAAAAATTGCTATGAAAATTCATAAGTTTGATGGTTACTCGCCTACAGAAAAAAATTTATAAAAGCAGAAGAGTGTCAACAATTTGGAAAAATATTAGGAAATTTTATATACAATTCACGCAAAGATATTGAAAAAAAATCGAATTAAGTTAGAAAATCCATCTTCGTTAGACGAATATTATAATAGTTTTCCTCCAGCTCTAATTAGTTTTTTTGATGGATTGATCGAATCTATTGAAAAACAAAAATATGAAGTAAGAAAAAGAAAAAACAAACAACGTGAACAAGAGAAATCTGAATTTAATACAGGTGCTATAAAAAGAATTACATCATTTCTTGCATCTATTATCCTAACAATAGCATTTCGTTCATGGAAAATATGGCTTACCTATACTATGGCTTCTTTATGTAAAAAGCCTAAATTGATCTCTTCTTTGCAAGCAATATTGCATGCAGTATATATAACATCGCATACATGGAAGCATGAGACGAATCTAGAAAAAAATCGGATAAGTAAATCTAATCCTTCAACAAGGTTAATAAAAGGCCCAAATATATAGAACGTTGCTGTGATTGATAATATCGATTTCAAAAATATTGTTTTTAAGTATGGGAATATTTATGATATTACGCGGCAATCCGCACATGCTACTCTAAGGATGGTATTTCAATTCGAACTTCCGTTTAGTCTATCATCTCTTATTCAAGAAAATTCAAGCCCTCGAGAAAATCTATTTGGTCAATCAGTATTTACATCCAAGTGGGATGATAAATTTGATCAAATAATAGAACAATTACTAAATAAGTATGAAAAAAACTTCGGAATTAAAGAAATTAATGATGAAATACTTACTATTATTGAGCCAGGATATCGAATAAACCCACCAAACGTTGTTATATTGGAACCTGGACCAGCACCTAATAGCAATGACGCTATATTTAAGTCAATTGATATGTATCTAGAAGATCTTGAACAAGACGTAGTTGACTTAACATGTGATGCAGCTATTTTTACACGAACTAAATCATATAAAAATAATAATTTAACCTGTAGATTTATTCTTGGACAATAGCATACTTCAAAAGCCATGTGCAGTGCTTTGATTTCTGCATTTAGCGGATATGGTCTTTATAGTATAGCAACAAAACTTGGTGTCAAATTTCTTGACAAGCTAGAGCAAAATGTAGACTATCGTTCAACCTG